CACACACACACACACACACACACACACACACACACACACACACACGCACACAAAACTTTCAGTTTAGACAAGGGACCTTTATTCTTCAGTATAATGCTTCTGAAGCACCAATCAGAGTATGGATACTTTTACCTCAGCCCTAATCTCTAAACAAGTATGCATCCAAAAGTTATTTAAAAGATGGAAAGAATGGCTTGTAACTAAGAGAGTAACAAAATACTAAAAGAATGGGTCAGTGAGAACATAATACAAAAAGGGCTACATGCAGATAAAATGTATATGACAACAAAAGTATCCTCCATTCAGCATGCAGAATATTAAGAAAGCCCCTACGTGGAATAAATGAGGAAATTATAAGAGAAAAGCACCTATTTTCCTGTTATTGAGGACAGGAGGTAAAGATTTGTTGTTACCTGCTCCTTGAGGGAAGGAAAAGGGGGGAATGAAGGGATGAATAGTTGGTAGTCATCCTTAGCTATACAAATCCCATTTTGGAATTGAGTCCTATATACATATAATTCTCATGCTTTAAAATGTATAAAAGACAACTGTACTAGAGTAATTGGTCTTTTCAGTACAATAAAGTCCAACCTTTATGCACGTGGATATATTAAATTGTAGAATATCTGGTAGTAAGCTTTCTCTAAAGAACATTAGTGTTTTCTCCTTTACAGACCTGAAATTTCCTTATGATGCACAATAAAATTAATGCCTCTGCATGTCAAGAAAAAGAGGAAGTTAGCAACTATGACTATTAAATAAATTATATCATTCACTTATTTAAAAAACATTTTATTTTGCAACAACTGGGCATTTCATGCTTACAAAGTTCCTGTAAGAACATTCTGTCCAAAATTAGCTTATTTACAGTTCATGCTGTTGCTGGAGAAAACAACCTGTTCACTGAACCAGCCTCAAATGAAATACTGATTAGATCTCAGCAGTTTACTATTTAAGATCCAAAGGAGACCAGAAAAGGAGTAAACATTTCATCTCTCCAGTGTCCTTCAAAGCCAAGTGGGAAGAAAAAATTCTATCTGCAGCCCCTACACTCATCCCAACAAAAGGAGGGAGAAAGGAAGAGACTATCCAGATACGCACGATCAAATGGGGACAAGGGGAAACAGCCTCATAAACAAAGACATATTTTGTCCATATTTTGTTTACCATAATTTTGAGCAGAAAATACAGGAGAAAAAGAAAGATCCTGTTCTTTTGTTAATTGACTACTCATGATTATAGTCATAGGCCTAATTAATTCCAATTTGTCCCTCTATGACTTTCCTCTTTATTCCTTCTGAATCTCTCTCTCTGTTGTAGTCACCTTGAATGCTGGAATTGACAGGACTGATGGATAAACCATGTATGTAACAGAGAAAATACACCTAAGCAACAGCAGTAAGAAATCTTCTAGAACCCACTGTAAAACTCAACCTGAGATAATGGTTGGTCAGACCACTGCCTGATTCCCAGCATCTTGCTTTCCTAAGATCTCAAAGTTTCCATAAACCCCCTGAATATGGACTTGGGTCACTGAGATCCTATATCTGTTCTCTCCAATGCAGTCAAGTTTGATTATATCTCCTTTCTCTTTATCATCTCAATTGTTGTATTGGACTGGGTACCCAAGTCTAGCTGAGATTCTTCTGAAGCCAGAGCTTTTTCCCTAAAACTCAAGACAGCACTTATGACCTGAAATTTGCTTCCCGTTGATTATGAAAGATGCACAAATAGGCCATGCCAGAAAACAAGTTGTGCCCTTAATTTTGGCAAATGACTAAAATCACATAACTGATTTTATGCTTACGTGCTTAAAGCCATGACTATAATTAATTACCTCATTGCTGTCATGAGCATTCTGTCCTCTATTTGAAAGGAACAGTATACTGCCCTAACCACACTCTCTTAAGAGTCCATGAAGTGATTACCTTAAATTCCAGTAAGTATGATCTTCAAGTGTTAGGTTGGAATAGACTGTTCACCTCTCACAGTAAGTTATACTACTGGCCACTGTTCTTCAAGCTATTCAACAGAATGCTTCTGCAAATATGTATGAAACAGTGCCAGGATATACATATATGACGTTAACAGTAACCTAGAAAGAACCCAAGCCACACCCACATAAAGTGCCTGGTGAGCTATTGGTCCAGAATTTGAAGTACCAATAAATAGAATATGCAGCTAGGAAAAACAAACAAAAAACCCAGCATTCTTCTTGGACAAAGCATAAAATAAGGGATAATGAATTACTAAAGTCTGCTTTTTTGGTTGTTCCTGTAAATGTAGCAGCTGTCTTTCACAAGGATCCTTACTTTGTGATGTGCTGTTCATCCTCCAGAGCACGTGATTTACTCATGAATTTGCACCAGGGTGTTTTTTTTTATTAAATACAAAAGTCCACAATTATGTTACAGCCTTCATCTATATTGAGAGATCAGTTTCTTCCTCATTTACAGTAGTAACATAGCATTTCTATTTCGTATCTCTTCGTCCCAGGTTGGAATAGTGACATCATCTCCTATGCCGGACTCGATACACACACACACACACACACACACACACACACGCATTACATGTATACTCTCAACACATTGTGGAATTAAGTACAGACTCTCTCCCCCTCGTCGTCGATCCCCCAGCCATCAAAGACAATTCTTTCCCTGGGCTTATGCTCAGAGCATCTTTCCAAACTGTTAGTTGCAAAGAATCACCTTCCTCTTCACACAGGCAAAGAAGAAGAAGAAAAGAAGAAAACCCCTTAGAAGGGTGCAGGTGAGGCTCCTTAGGCACCCCAAAAAACGAGTCTAGCGCTCGAGGGCACAACTCGTGCCCGGGGAGAAGCCCGGGTCTGCATTCCTGCAGACGGAAGGACCCACGCCGCCACCTACCTGCTTGCGTGCAAGACCCAGGCCCGCGGCCCACAGTTCCCGCCACCCCAGACCCTGGAGGAGGCGGAAGGCGGGGCCGCGGCCGGCTCTCCCAGCAGCTGGCAACCGCTACGCCTACCTGTGAGAGCGCAGCATCCCCGCCCTCCTCGCGGGCAGCAACCACCCCCTCAGACGACTCGGTCTCCGGGGCAAAAAACAACCCCGGGGACTCCTCCCTCTCCTCGTGCTCCTTACGTAAGGGATTCTCCAACCAATGGGAAGCGCCGGGGGCGGAGCGAGAGCAGCCCCAAGTGACAGACGACCACCGAGTCCTCCCGCCGGCGGGCGCGGACAGCGCAGTTGCTGGGCCAATCAGCGGCGTAGGTGGGGTGTGCAGCGGGGGGAGAAAGGGGGGGAAAGAGGATGCCCAATTAGGGCTCAAGGTCTCTGAGTGACGGGCCCTTCGGCCCGTGGCCTTCCGAGTACGGCGCTCGGGGGGCGTGTCCACCTGAGCCAATCAGTGCCAGCCCACGGTGCGGAGCGAGCGCCTCAAATGCTCGGGTTTCTCAGCTGATTGTCTCCAGCCGAGAGTTGTTTTTCGCCGCTCGCAAGCGAAGCCTCAGCAGGAGAGCCGAGCCCCCTGAGGGGGTGGGGTGGGAGGGGGGGGGACTGAGGAG